GAGCGCCCGATCGCGAAGCCACCGCGCACAACAAAGAAAGGGCTGGGGGAAAGACCCGATCCCCATAGCTTGGTCCCTTCTCCTCTACCACCACCGCCGCCGCCGCCCTCCTTCCCGCCCCGCGAGATCCGAGCAACTTCTCCGCTCTCACCCGGAGTTTGCTGCTCCCCTTCTCGAGTTTACGGTTCTCGGACTCGCAGATCTAAAGGGGGCATCTCCGCTACGGCCATCGCAGTCCAAGGCGGGAGGGTCTTCGGGTCCTCGGCGGCGACAGAAAGCAGGAGCAGCACCATCCCATGGGAGTCGCTCGGCTCTGGCATCACCATCCGGCTGAGCAGCAGCGAGCGCTGCCTCCGTCCATTGTTAAAGGGCTCCTCGAGCGAGCCTTGTATACAAAGACGGGGGAGCCCAACACATGCGGCCGCGCCTCTGCCAATCTCCTGTCGCCTTACATCTCCGCTCCGGCAGCTTTCGCCAATCAGCGCCTAGCGTTTAGAGGGGCGGGGGGGGCGCCCGCTGCCTTCACCCGGCGGCTGCCATATGCGAGGAAGTTTTGGGCCAATTGCATTGCCGTAGCCGCTCACAGACTTAAAAAAAAAAAAAAAGAAAGCGGCGGAGGAACTGGTCACGTGGTCCGGTTTTGTGTAAGTGTCTTTAGGTGTACATACTTGGGGCGGAGGAGGTGTGTCCCTGTGTCGAAAAAGAGCGTGAGAGAAAGAGACTTAAGTTGCGCGTCTCCTGACTTTTTTTTTTTTTTGGTCCTGTGCCTTAAGGCGAGATACGAGTTTCAAAAAGTTACGGGCAGGGCTATCTTCTCGTCGGGCACAAGTCCGCGTAGGAAAGTTTGTAAAACTTAAGCTAATTCAATGCCGCAGTTTTATGCACACTTGTGGTTTGTTGTTACGTGCCGTCCATGAAGCTGCAATCTCCCACATGCCCTATCCTGAACAGCCCTGCTGAGCAATTGCAAACGCAACCCTGTGGGTTCTTTGAAGGAGTCAATCCATCTTGTATTTGGGTTTCCTCTTTTCCTGCTCCCTTCCATTTTCCCCAGCATTATTGTCTTTTCCAGCAAATTTTGCCTTCCCATGATGTGCTTGCCCCCAAAGAAGGACAACCTCAACTTCATCATTTCTACCTCCAGATACTAGTTTAGGCTTGATTTGATCCAGAACCCACTTGTTTATCTTTCTGGCAGATCCACAAAGATTTCTTCCAGCACAATACTTCAAATGAGTCAATATCCAGCTTTCACACCCATACATGGTAATCGGAAATACAAGAGTGTGCATGGTCTTGTTCTCCAGTGAAACATCCTTGCACTTAATTATTTTTTTTCTAGTTCCTTCATTACTGCTCTTCCTGTCTCAGTCTTTTGATTTCTTTGCTGCAGTCCCCGTTTGGATTGATAACTGAACCAAGGTATACAAAATTATTAACTATTTCAATTTCTTCATCAGCTTTAAAGTTGTGTAGTTCTTGTGTTCGTCATGATTTTTGTCTTTTTAATGTTCAAATGCTTCAGTACCCTGTTTCCCTGAAACTAAAACCTAACCCGAAAATAAGCCCTAGTATGATTTTTCAGGAGGCTCATAATATAAGCCCTACCCCAAAAATAAGCCCTAGTTAAGTGAAACCCGGCCCTCCACCATTGTACATCAACCAGAAGATGACATGACTGTAAAATAAAACATCCCCTGAAAATAAGGCGTTTTTTGGAGCAAAAATTAATATAAGACCCTGCCTTATTTTTGGGGAAACACAGTACTTTCACAAAAAGTCGTTGCTGCTTTATGTCAATGATATGGTTTCATCTGCATATCTTAAATTATAGATGTTTCTTCCACCATTTTGCACTCCTTCATCTGAATCTAGTCTGGCTTTCCATATGTTATGTTTTGTATAGAGACTGAACAGATAGCAGGAAAAAAAAATACCTTATCTGACACTTTTGCCTGTAGGAAACCATTTTGTCTCTCCTACCTTATCTGACACTTGCCTGTAGGAAACCATTTTGTCTCTCCATGTTCTGTCCTAACGGTAGCTTCTTGTCCATAATACAAGTTATGCATCATGACAAGCAAGTGCAGAGGTATACCTATTTCTTTCAGAACAATCAATAGCTTCTCATGATCCACACAGTCAAAGGCTTTGCTGTAGTCTATAATCACAGATTGATCTTCTGAAACTGTTTAGTGCTCTCTATCAACCAGTTATTTGCAATATGATCTCAAGTGCCTCTTCCTTTTCAGAATTCAACTTAAACATCAGGCATTTATAATAACAACAGTAATAATACTCTTAGAACTGCAGAGCTGGAAGGGACCCTATGAATCATCAAATCTGGTCCCTGTCAAGGAGGCACAGTGGGGGACCAAACTCCCAACCTCTGACTCTGCAGTCAGATACCTAAACCACTGAACTATCCAGCATTTCTCACTCCATGTAAGGTTAAATGCCTTTGTTGCAATATCTTGAGCATCACTTTGCTTGCATGGCAAATTAAAGCAATGGTCCTATAGTTACTGCAATTCTTGGCATCTTCTTTCTTGAGGATTGGAATGTACAGAATATTGAGTGATGCCAGTCTGGGAGCCATAGTTTTGTTTTCCGCATTTGTTGGCATATTCTTGTTAGGATTTTGACATATTCAGTCTCTGTGGCTTGAAATAGTTATAATAGTATTCCATCTAACCCTGCTGATTTATTTATTCCTAGTGCTTTCAGAGCAGCTTATACTCACTTTCTACAACTGCAGGTTCTTTGTCATAGGATTCCTCCTCAATGTAATCTTTTCTCTTTTCTGTATAGGTCTTCTACTGTTTCCACCTTTTCTTTATTTTCTGAGTGAAAGAGGGGCTGGGAAGGAAGATTATGAAAGGGAAAAATGGTTAAGGGCAAGTTCATATTGTGGAGATTGTGTTGTTCATGGGTTGGAGACATTGACTAATATCCTCTTTCTTTAAATATTTTGCAGTTGTGGATCCTTGGTTATTTCTCCCCCACAGAAATATTAGTGGCAGTTCATTTTTCTTAAATAATTTTCACTTGTACAACATTTACATTTCTTAACTAGCCAGAAAATTCATAGCTCATAAATAGTTGTTCTTTGTAGTTCATAAACATAGCACTGTCTGATTCGATGCAAGCCATGTTTATTATGTTAATAGAGGGACCTTAAATCTGACTTCTGTGTAGTCTCCAGAATCCTATGCACATTCACTTGGAGGTAAGTTCATTATGCTCAGTAGGGCTTGCACCCAGGGGAGTGTGCATGCAGTTGCAGCCTTATGTGGGTAAACCCAATTAAACTCAGTTGGACAAATGAGTAAACAGTAGGCTTAGGGTATATGAATGATGAAAACCTGAATCTTGAGCAAATATCGGCAGGGATAGGTAAAATGCTGCCCTCTGTGTGTTGTTGGGCTGTAGCTCCCATCAGTAGGCAATGGGGAAGAATGCTGTGGAGGACTGCATTTTGCTGTATAGCAGAGGCCTTCCAGATGTTTATTGCAACACTCATCACCTGTCACCAGCGGCTGTGCTGGTTAGGTCTGATGGGAGTTGTAGGCAAAAAACATCTGAAGGCCCACATCCACGTTACATATGTGGCTGTCAGTAAGTACCACTGATAAAGTCAGACATCTGAGAAGCCCAAAGTAGATATGTTAAACATTGCATTTTTATCTTCAGAAATATTAATTTATTAAATCTATCCTCCAGGAAGATGACGATGGCATAACAAGGCTCTTGAGTTTCCCACTTTTATCCTCCCAAGAGCTCAGTAGCATAGATCAAGTTGAGAGAAGCTGGCCCCTGGGCACCCAATAATTTTCACGGTTCAGAGGACTTTGGATCTTAATTCATGGTTAGACACTCCACTCCTAATCTCACCAACAGCTTTGTGGTGAATAAATGAAGTGCATAGGGGAGGATTATCAGGTGGGGGATTGTGACATGCAGGGAGGGAATTTTACCCTTTCCTCCCCTGCCACAGTCTGGATTAAAATCATCCTCCCCCTCTGCAGTTGCTGTTAGTTCTGAGAGAGAAGCTCCAGTTGGTAATAATTTGGATGCCAGAATTATGAATTCATTGCAAGGTAATACAGAGAAAAGCAGGGGACGGGGGGAGGTTCAATGGAGCCATGGAGTTTGAGTTATTTTTGGCTAAGTCTTTGAAAAGCTTGCTGTGGCAACAAAATGTAGGAGATATAGGTTTGGAAATAGACCATTATACTCCTCTCAGTAAAGGTGCTCACTTCTTGAAGGGAAGATGTCAGAAAATGTTTATTTCATGATCTTCCAAATCATTTATGTTTTCATTACAGAGGAACAGCTAATAAATTCTGGATAGCAAAATTAGACAGAGACAACAGATAAGAATTGTGTACCTCAGCACACCTCACAGATTGCCTCAGCACACATTCTAGCACTTCTTTCATTATGGATAAAGTGACAACACATTGTGTCAAGGGTTAATCATTACTGTGTGCATTATATTTTTTAAAGAGAAAGGCAGAATAAAAACCAACAAGCAAATAAATTGTCTGATCCATTTCAGAAAATCTGCAGAAACAGGGCATCGCAAGTCAGAAGCCAATAGTCAAATGCCTCTGAGAAGTGATTGCACCCAGGACAAAGGCAGGATTTCTGAGGGAGTGGGATTAGGAACATTGCATGCCCGGAATAGGTGACTAATTAATCAGCCAGGATATAGGTTGGGATAGTCCAAAAGGAGGTTGAAAGAAAATTAACAAAAACCATTAAGAATTTTAATAAGAAAAGAGCCGGTGTTAAACATGGGTCCTCTTACATTCATTCCTCTGAGTCAGGTTTTCAGATTTCACAGTGGTAGCTGTGGTAATCAGTTTCAGTATGTATGACAACAACAATAATAGATTTTATAAAAAAAATTGGCATCTTAAAGATGAACTGACTGATTTCACTGTAGCTTTCTGTGGATTACAATCCACTTCTTCAGACTTTCAGAGGTTTCAGCTGTTAAGGAAGAGCACTGCTGCTTACCATTACGGAGCAAAATGACTTCAAAGGGAAAGACAGCTGAGATATAATTCCTTAGGAAATTCCTGTCTATCACCAGAACTTTTAATTGGGAAAACAGTTTCTTATCGCAGGGCATGTTTCAATTGCTTTATTTAGCAGCAGGATGTAGGTATGATCTGCAACAGTTTTATGAATGTTCAGTGTTTGTATGAATGTCACACTATCAGTGCTTTCTGCACTTTTTAACTGAACTCACTGTATACAATCTTTAGCAAGTGTACTGCATGCATACATGCTTCTGATTAAGTGAGCTGTAGTTCATGAAAACTGGTGCTAGCATCAATTTGTAAGGCCAGGATCCTGTTTCTTTTAACTGTGTGTTTAAATGGTCCATTTCACATGCAGGACCTCTTTCCATCATTTATGTAAGACAGTATCACTCATTTCAGCAACCAAAA